TTGTCCATCACAAAGGAAAGATGTTTCAGTTTGTATTGATCAGCTTTTTAATAGCAAAGACAAAAATGTTCTCAAACGTACAGCTGTTTTATAAAAAAAGGTTTGTCCATGAGAAAAGAAATGGTAACCTTATGATCTATGATGAACTATGGTAACACAACATAGTATTGTTTTTGTTTTTTTCAATTTTCATGCAATGCACTTTGTATTAAATGTTTATGTCACACATGTATATGATGCCTATATATGTACAGTGGGCAACGGCCTGTAAGTACCTAATAAACATCTTATCTCATCTTATGGAATAAAAATGGTTAGCTTCAGGGAGTTTATTATGTCTTTGAAACTAATGTGGGGGAAGAAAATTGTGATGCAAAAGAGCAATATACATTCACTTTAAAACTTAGAGATAAAAAATAATATCATTATGGGGTACAAAATACTGAGGTAAAAGGAAAAATGAAATCCAATAATTATTTGTTTAAGAAAGATGTTATGGAATTATGGGCATATATTTTTTCAGAAAGAAACTCAGATTCAACATTTAATGCAGCTATAGAACCGTTTGCAACACTAATTGTCCCCCGCTTGAAAAGTGGGGGATATTAATTTGGGTTTGTCCGTCCGTCCGACCGTCCGTCTTTCTGTCGTTTCCACACGATATCTCGAGAACCCTTTGAGCTTTTGCAATGAAATTTTGCATAGCAACTCCCTATGGACTAAAGAAGAACCCTATTGATTTTGAGATCAAAAGGTCAACGGTCAAGGTCATAAATAAGCAAATCCTGTCTGTTATAACACTTTCGTTTCCACACGATATCTTTAGAACCATTTGAGCTATTGCAATGAAATTTTACATAACAACTCCTTGTGGCCTAATGAAGACCCCTATTGATTTTGAGGTCAAAAGGTCAAAGTTCAAGGTCGTAAATTTATACATTCTGTCTGTGTGTAACACCATCATTTCCAGGCGATATTTCAAGAAGATTTTGAGCTTATGCAATGTAATTTTATACATGTACCAAAACTCCCTAGGACCCCTCTCAAAGTGCCCCGCCCAGTTTGTTTTATTAGTATTTATAGTATTACATGTCGCTATTTTTAGCACAGGGGCATGAGGTGAGTTATTGCATATAAAACAGGTTCTCGGCGGACTTTATGTTCTTATTACATTAATTAGATCTGTTTTAAAAAGGCTAAATAAATCAAACACCATGGATAGTGTAAAATTTTGAGAATACCGAACATGAATATATTTATATAATAGTGTTGCATTATGAATGTACTATGCCTAAACAGAAGACAGGGTTTGACACATGGTGCACGAGCCGTTGAGGCGAGTGCACTATGTGTCAAACCCTGCCTACTATTTAGGCATAGTACATGCATAATGCAACACTATTGTTATTATTATGCTGACTGTTGTAATTATTTATGCGGCAATCTATTTGACTTTTTCCTGAAAATATCGGTGCTTACACAGCGCACTTGCAAGAACTCATTCAAAATCTTCATGCTAAAATTGTTTGCATGCTTAGTTATTTTGGTTACTAGTATTTTCTCTAAAAACGTCGGGATTTTCTGTCCCAAAGCAACTCATCTTTATTTTCTGTTTTGTTAGTAAGCCTTATTTGTTTGCAGACGCCGATTCTCATTGATAATTTTCTTTTACATCCTTCAATCAAGCGTCATATAAAAAAGCGTTTTAATGACCCTATGAAATCAGTTCATCTAACGATCTGTATGTAATTAGTTTGAAAGTTTGTTGTACACATTAATCAAAAGTTCCTTAGAATAATATAACTGTTTTCAAATAATATTTGTCTATTTTCTCCTTCTTGTGTCAATTGTATAAATTAAGTTTATATATTTAATAAATTTCAATCAATTATTGATCGTCTCTGTGGCGTAATCGATAAAGCATCGGACTGACAATCTCATGGTCGTGAGTTCGATCCCCGGCGTGAGCACTGAAGAATTTTATTCAGTAAATAAAGCCGTGCACTAATTCGGCATAGTATGCTTACGCTATAAAATCCTTAGACCACTATGCGAGAATAGTAGGGTATGGGTTATATAGTGACAGACTGACAGGAAGCATAATAATCATGTATGTGACTATACTTGATATCGTGTAAAGCGGTTTCATGGCCTATTGGTAAGCCTCTCGCTTCACATGTGAGAGGTCCCGGGATCGTATCTCGGTCGTTCCTTGTTTTTTTTTTTTTTTTTTTTTTTTTTTTTAATATATATAAATACTTTTCTTTTTCTTTTTTACTAAATGATAGTATTCAGCATGTGAAATGAAAAAATTATGAGGTTATAAAATCATCATTACAGTGTGATAAATATTCCATATACATGTAAAAAGAATCTTCTATACACATAATAAAGAATAAGCAATCAAATCTTTATATGCATATTGACATACATGTGCATTTTATTTGCTTCAGTATAGATCTACATGTATACATCTAATAATTCTACAAATTCAGTCAGCTAGGGGGATCCGACTTTTTCCCTATGCGGGGGACACGAATTGTTTCATATTAGATAGAAAGACTATTTCTATAGAAAATGGTACGAGAATAATATTTAAAAATGTGTGTTTTACATGAAAGTTCATTTCCTTGAATATAATGCAGTCTTGGCAGTTGTTAGAGAATGGATAAAAAAAAAAGACGCATCTTCAATTTGCGTGATCAATTGTCTTTCCACGAATTTCATTTAAAGTAGTCATAACAACAAATTTTTTTTATAAATGAAATTGTGGAAAGACACTATGCTGAATGGTTACATGTGTGAGAGACATTCGACATTTTGGACCCGCTTCAAATTGCATTTCAATTTGAATGTATAAATTTTAAAACAAATTATATAATGAGCCTTTTAGAAGGGCTTCTATTAAGTCCCTCCTTATATTGGATAAATATATTGAAAAACAAAAAAGTTGATTTTTTTCAAATCGCTTTAGGAAGCGACCGAAAGTATTGACGACCCAGCATTGATTTTGAAAGGGGGACAGCCAGAGAACTTTTTTAACCTATCTGAAAAAGAAAAACTTCACACGTAAAAAAACAAAACAAAACAAGAGGCCCGCGGGCCTTATAGGTCACCTGAGTATCCTGTAACAACTTTCCAACGATTGAATTTGGTTCGTGTTCTAAACCAGAGGCCATGAAATTCATAATTTGAAAGAAGCACCATTGCTTATCATAATTATACACTTAGCATGTTTACTCTGGTTACTTAATACCCAGAGGAAGATCAAAGTAACAGGGAGAAAATGCACTGGACCACTTTATAACCATCTCACAGGAACCACTGACCCTGGGGCCACATATTTCAAAATTTGGGAAATTTTTCCATAAATTTTATTTCATCATAAATGGTTGTTTAATACCAAAGAACAGATATCAAAGCATTATATAATTTATTTTCAGACTATGTAACCCCCCCCCCCCGATACCCCTCACCCAGGGGCCCTGAAATTAACCATTTTGCACGATGCCCCTTTCTTATATAAACTTAGATCATTGGCATAATACTCACTCTTGCTAAATATAACTATACACTTAGTTTATTTAATTCCCAGGAGCAACATGAACAAAGGAGAAGATTTTCAAAGATTTTTACATGTTTAATGCATTTTCACTATGTAATCAATAGAGCCCCGCCCTAACATCATAACCCCTAACCCTGGGGCCATAAAATTCACAATTTGGAAGAGGCACTCTTGCTCATTATCACTATGTACTTAGTTTATTTAATACCCAGGAGCAGAGAAGAAGATTTTTAAAGAAATATATAATGCATTTTTACTATATAATCTATCAAGCCGCACCGTAGCACTAAAACCCATGCAGACCCTGGGGCCATGAATTTCACAATTTTGGTAGAGAACTCAGTGCTCGATCATTACATTCATGCCAACAGTTTGACTGTTTGATGTCCAGGAGTAAAGAAGAAGATTTTTAAAGATTGCATTAATTTTAGTGGTTTTGGCCCCACCCCTCAGGCCCAAGGGGAGCGAGGACCATAAAATTCACAATTCTTGTTCCCCTTCACCCATAGATGCTGTATACCAAATTTGGTTGAAATTGGTTCAGTGATTTCAGAAAAGAAGTTGCAAATGTTCAAATGTTAACAGTCACGACGCACGAAGACGGATGAAAACGGATAGCAATAGGTCACCTGAATACATGTAGCTCAGGTGACCTAAAAAGGAAAATATCCAAACTCGAACCCCCGGTTCACCTTTTAATTCTCAGTACCAAATTTCAACTTTCTACATAATAATTATATTACTACATGACCCTTATCTAAACTTACTGTTACAAAAGTGTGGGTATGGGCAACCAGCCTTCAGTGAACATTTCACATGGTAAAAAGTTATGTTTGAAAAAAAAATGGGGGTTGGGGGGTTGGCAACTTTCCTGCATCACACGAAGAAGAGATTCTATAAAACACATTTTCTCTCTCCTTTGAAAGGTTTCTATTAAATCATAAAATTCTGACCCCCCCCCCCACTTAACAATATATTTGCCCCCTCTCCCTTCAACACCCCCACCCCCACCTTTTTTTCATAATTTCACAAAAGAAAAACAAGAGAGAGAGAGAGAGAGAAGGGGGGTAAATTCTTCCATAACTCCCAGGCCTGGGGATCATGAATTTTTTAAGCACCATTTTAAGATTTTAAATTTAAGATTTTAATCATAATGATTTATTAAAGTGTACTTTAGATGATTTTCAAAATTGTGAAAAGATCTTCCAATGTACTAGTATTTAATTCTAATAACAAATTATTATATATAAAGTCAGTATTATCAAAATACAAAAAAATACAAATATTTATTTGCACAAGCACAATTACAATAATTGGCAAAGGCACATCATATTATAAATATCATCAATTTCTCATTTATTATCTAAAGCGCCACTTCGTTTGGGTAGACATTGGCAAGTCACCGCTTTAAAGAACGTTAACTCTTCAACACAAACATGGCGGACCAAAAAAGATGAAAACGGAAGGTGGAAAACCCCTAAACCAGTTACGAGTAAATGGATAGCTGAGAATTAGAAACTCAGAATGGCACACTTCGGGAAAGATGTTGATAATTTTAGTGCTACAAGAACCATTAGAATTGTTGGAGTAGAAACTAATGAAAAATTCACGGTGAGGAAAGAAAAGGCCCTTCGAGATCTGTCAAGTGTTGTTGAACAATAGTCCTGGGTCGGAGTGTACTATATAATGGTTATAGCTTGGATATGATCATTTGAGATAGCTAATGATAGAGAGATAGCTATATGTTAAATTATCTACAGATTTTTGATTTTTTCAGTTTAGAGTTTTTTAGTTACGTAATAGTCAAAACGAAAATACCCCTGAGGAATAGTGGCTGTACATCATTCATGCTTCTCCAGAATATTTATTAAGATACAGTACAGTAAACACGTTTCAGACAACTATCTGCTTATTGTAGTACATTTACGAAAACTATTAAAATTGTATAGTGTAAATTTGATCCCATGGAAACCAATCTTTTTTCAAAGGTTTGGGTTGAATTTTAATTTTTAGGGATTGTTTTATAGGATATGATTGTGTAGGGGAAAAAAGACATAAAAAGTACCCTGAATGATTTTTGAAATAGGATTCCTGGTCTTCTTTGTTAAATTTTAATTTGCACTTCTTTTAATTACTATATATGCCGAAAAAATAATAAAATGGCCTAAATTAAAAGCCTAAAATATTATTTGTTTCACAAACCCACTCGCAATATACACTGTACAGCTGATTGGAATTTTTCCTCCCAAATTTGAGTTTGATCAATTTCCTGAAGCAATTTTAATAGAAATATTGATTGTAGCTTTACTTAAAATACAAAAAAATTAAGTAAGTCAACAGCACCTTTTGATCACAGCTAGGTCTCTGAATTTCTATCAATAAGCCATTATATGCTTGATTAGAGTGATATAGGCCTATATATATACCCCCTCTATTATAATATATAGATACATATTCTTTGCATGGGTAGCTCAGTGCTTAGAGCACCAGTCCTGCAGACTAGAGAAATGTAGTGATGCATGGGTCCCAGGTTCAATTCCCACTCTTTTCATACATTTTCTCCTTTGACCACCCATAGACTTACAGGTAAAAGTCCTGCAAAGGGCTAAAAGGTATTGGGTTGAGTCTTTGGTGGTGCATACATCTTAAGAAGATTTTTAAAAAGAGGGGAATGTAAATGATTTTGGCAGTAGATATCAGTCTGGGAGAAAAATATATGACTGGACTGAGAGTGAAATGCAAAAGACCTGCATCAGTATCACCAATCAGGTGTGCTACCAACTCACAGTTGTTTGCTAAGTGTACACATATATTTTTCAGACATACATTATAGAAGTTGCAGTAGGACACTACGTTTGGAGAGTGAAGCATCGTTACAATGATTTTCACGACCTACACGATCAGGTAGACCACATACTCTGTAAACTATTTATATAAATATTGACATTGTTTTGACTAAATAGAATTTCTAGCTGCCGTAGGAGTCTTTAACATTTCTGAATCAGTATAATTGTGCTTTTAGCTTGTATATTCCTGTAAAGTGGACAAGTGCCTGCTACCACCAAAGAAAATGTTTGGGAACCAGAGTGAATCCTTTATAAAGAAGCGACAGGCTGACTTAGAGGCTTATCTTCAGACCATGCTGTACTACCTCGCTCACAAAGTCCCATCTGCCCTCGCCACCTTCCTACAATTCGACAAATATGTGAGATATGATTCTGTTTACTTAAAGAAAGAGGATCTTTTGTCAGTATTCATGCAGTTCAGTTTCATCATTATTTTTATCAAATATATATTTTGTGTATAAATTACAAGTACATGTATAGATGGTTGTATTCGTGTAATTTGAAATATCACATACCCCTATTGATAAAAAAAGAGTCCTTAAAATTAATTCAAGAATAAAAAAAAAATGTTTCATATTTTCAGGAAATTCATGGTATTACACAATGCATGGCAGAAGAATTATACAACAGAGGTAGTTTTTTTTCATTTAGCTTTTCTCTGATTAAAAAATGCATGTACCGTCTTTGTGACAAATTAAATGCTTACAGCTGCAAATGATAATGAGAAATAAGTGAAATATTTTACTTGTAACTGTTACACTTTTTGCCGTGTTTGTGTATAACTTAATATTATAATAAACAGGTGAGATCCTGCTGCAGTCCCGGGACCCCTACGTCGTGACCCCCCTCCAGTTATACTCCCTGACCGAGAGACTGAAGCTCCCCGAACCCACGTGTGGTAAGCTGTACTCACAGAAAGCAGCAAGCTTTATAACATAAAATATAGCAGAACAAAGCTTAATAATGTACAATATAGCTCAAGAGAGTTCCAGAGGTCATTTGCTTGATTTTATAAAAAAAAAAATTGTAATCTGTGAATTTTTTCAATGCAGGGACTAATCTATGTCATAAAGTGTTAATCACTTTTAATTTACCAGAATTCAATTTTCCAGTAATTATGCGAGTCTGTCCTCTTGTGAAAATTACATTCTTCCATATATTAATATTAGTAAGGGTTATGCAAGGAAAACCATAACTCGTGAACATTTTGTCTCGTCTATAAATATACCTACTAACTATCTTGGGAAAATTAAGATGTGTCGAAAATAAAGTAATCCATTGTTTTTACTACAGCACTGAAATTAAGTATTTTTCACTAAGAGTGATTCCCCCTTAAATAGCTCAGTTGCCCATACCACATTGTTAACTGGGCAAGTTTTGCTTTTACATGTATATAGAATTATTTGCGTCATTGTAATATACATGTATAACTATTTACAATGCCAGTTTTGTTCACAGTAGAAAGAGAACAAATTTGTTTTAAATACATGCATGATGTTTCAGGACACAAAATTTTTGTGCCCTGAAACATCGTCACCCATTCTCAATATAAGGGCTCAAATAATGTCGCCTCATTTTCATTTAGAAGAAATACCACTGATGTAATTTTTAAATCAACATTATAAATAGTCATATAACAATGAATAAGAATTCATATAATTATCGATCTGAAAGGGTATTTAAGGAGTTCCAAATTCAAATATAGTAGCCTATTTGAAATGTACGTTACTGTCGCCGAGGCAAATATTATGCTGAATCCCCTCTGTGTAATATATAGTTTTGATTCTCAAGTAAAAATTTTCTGATAAGTTAAACCTTGTATCATGTATATTTCTTTTCATAACAATAAATACATTTTCTTTGTGATAATAAATAATTTTTATTGTGCAATGTCCCTGTCGCTTAATTCTATTTCAACCACATTACAAGCAAACACAAAGATTATACACCTGATAGATTTGTTCTCCTTTATTTATTGATGGGCTAAATTTGAAATTTCAAAGGATTAATTACTCCTACTTAGATAATGTAACATGAAATTGAACAATTTGAGCAACTTTTATAAATACGTTTACGGAATGAAAGACATTTTCAATCGTAGAGATAAGAAAGAAATGTACGTTACCTATATTCTTCCATTAAGAATAAATATTAAGTAGAAAATATGAGACGACTCTGAATAAGCAACCCCTTGTATCCTGTAAACTGGCAAAGACGTTTTGCTCAACGCTATTAAAAATTATTTTTTACATGAAAAGTGATCATTTGAAATGTACGTTACTGAAATGTACGTTACCATGAAATTCGAATTAAGTGAATCTCGCACGAATTTTCATGTATTCTCATACTTTCACACACTCGAATAGGTACACAAAGGAAAGTTTCAAAGGTTGGAGGTCGGCTAAATCCCAAAATTAATGAAAAGAAACGTTTCTGCCGAGGAAAAAAATATATAAAGGTCAATTACATGTAATATAATTTTGATACCTGGTATATATTTCTGAATACGAAACCTGTATGATGCATTTCTTATGATATGGAAGTTGAAATAGTATCAATATATTATACACCTATTTACTGGCTATGAGGACAATAGCAAGTTTATCGTCCCCCAAGACAGCAAACTATTTCCCGAGGCGCAGCCGAGGGAAATAGTTTGCTGTCGAGGGGGACGATAAACTTGCCATTGTCCGAATAGTCAGTAAATAGGTGTTTTATTATACCGATGCTGACTTTACTTTTGTTACGTCATAATATATACAATTCGTATAAAATCAGAAGTTTTCCGAGATGAAAAGCGAGGGAAATCGAATGCTGCCGTTGAATAGTTTGAGGACTATTCACCATGGGCAAATAGCACAAAAACTATGTCACGGTAGAGACTGTTTAGAAAACATAGCATGTTTATTCGTCTTATTTTTATATAGAAAAAATACACAGAGGTATAATAATGCGTGTCTAACGTACGCTTGTGGAAGAGAATTGATTTTTATATTTGAAATGTACGTTACGTATGGTAATGTACATTTTGCGTATTTCTAACTGACATTTTTTTTTATTTAGTCAATGAATTGCGTTTACACGAGCGAAACAAAATTATCGTTACAATCCATTTGACAACTGACAACATAAATCCATCTAAATGCACCCCCAATCCTCGTAAATGTGGTAGACTGTTACCACATGCTAGAAAATTTATTTTTAAGTGTCTTAAATTCATCTTTGGCAACCTTTTTGCATTTTGTTTACTTTTAATATGCGACTTTTCGTCAATATTAATTTAATTGTTGTTGATATTTTAAAACAAGGTATGCATAGGCTTATAATTGAAAAAAAAAAATAGAAACAAAACAAACCCAAAACACAAGACGGTCACGTACATTTCAAATACTGAAAGGCACACAATACTCAGTTTTGTTTGAATCATTGCATTTTGGGTTATATTTTTCCAGATCTGCTGAAAAGCACGTATGTTTGTGTTTTGACAAACGATGTTGCAACATACTAAATGAAATTGTTAACAAGACTGTCGATGGATATATTCGGAATAGATTTATGTTAAGTTTCAATGGCCAAACACGAGCATTTGTTAGATCATAGCAAAATACGTCTGACTCTTTTTTTTTTGTCTGTACCCTTGCACACAAGTAGAAGTAACTAGGCTACGACCCGGACCGGTGTCAATTTCAGCGAAACAGCACAAAAGAATGGTAATGAACTGAGGTGGAGGGGACTCCCCAATAATATGTGAAATGTACGTTACCGAAGTGACGTGACATTCATGTAGTTGATGACAATAACCTCGTTTGTTATATTATGATTTCTTATATTACTGCGTTAAAACGCTTCATTGAAATGATTTTTATGTCAATAATTGCTTTTTTCGATATTTTCTTATTACTAATTTACATATCATTACAAGCTTGAAATGTACGTTACCTACTCATATTCTGAGGCAATCGTGTCTTTATATTGGTGATTGTGACATATAACACAATGTGATTACACAGAGAATCTTTTTTGGAATAAACTGAAACAAAACGATGAATTTTTAGATGAATTTTAAGCTTTTTATTAAACAGAAATATATCTTGAAATGTACGTTACATTTACGTAGTTTTCTAAATCGGCATGGATATATGTTAAAAAAGACAGTAACTACAAAATAGAATTTTACTACATGTACATGTTAAGTTCCAGTATCTATAGAAAAATGACAAGATTCCAAACTGATCGCTCTAAACAAACAGAGAGAAGAATTTAAAACATATATTTAAAAAAATATTTTTATACATCTGGGTCAAAAAGTAACCTTTGTTTTTTGAAAGGAAAAATCAAAAGCACGTTCGTATGCCGAGAAAATATGTTGCTGACAGAGTTGGTAGGATGTGCTGGTGTTAAGATGAGATATTCCAATTGTGATTTTAATGGCTACATTTTTTTTGACATATCTTTTTGGACATTGAAGAAAGAGTAACGTACATTTCAAGCTACATTTCTGAATAAAATCACCCTCTACTTTATCGTCTTGTCATTAATCCATGTTTTAATATTTGATGAAAAAAAATCTGGAAACAAAATCTTCACATACTTTCTTTCAAAGGTAATTGATAGAAAAATTGTTATCTTGAACTTCATTTTTTAAGAATTCAGAGAGGCATTTGTGCCTTTATATTGAGAATGGGTGCATGCAGCACAAAGAATCCTTAATTTCTCTCAAAAAATAGTTTCGTAAGAAACTGAAATAAGGCAAAAAAACCTTACTTAAAATATGAAAAATGATTGAGAAATGGACGCGGTGATGTCTGGAACTCTATTTTTTCTTTTGATTTTGGTAAATTAGTTAACACTTAGTGCTAAAAAAATGTATGCTTATTACCAAAGGTAATCATTTTTTCACCTTTTTAATTTTCATCATCACTAAGCTAATATTTGCAAAGTAAAACTGACATAATAAGAAATACACAATATGTATGTAAATCACTCTTTATCCGCGAGAACTTTATTTTCGCGTAATTACAATGCATTCGCGAAAATTAAATTCTCGCGTATAAAAGTATTCCTTACGATTATATGGGGGAATAGCCACTATTCGTGAAAACTATGTCTCGCTTACAAAGAGTCAATGACGATGTCGTGAAAATAAGGTGTCGTGAAAATTTAGTGATCTACAGTATTGCAAGCATGAATATTAGTACATGTATATGTATTGTAGTTGTAAAGTGTTCATAATTATTATTTTATCTAGCATTTATACATTCTTTTGAATATTATTTTTATTATTTTATTTCATATGCATGGGTTGTGGTTGGTTTTTGTAGAAGGTATGTTGAATTTATTAAGCACTCAAAAATATATATTATATTTAATTTTAAAGTAAATGTAATCAAGTTTCTCACTTGGCACATGAAGCACACAGCCTTTCCCAACATTTAATGTACCGGTACATTTGTATTTATCAACAAAGCAATCATTTTGAATGCCTGTGGCTTGTTTTAAAAAAAGAGATAAATTTGATCAATAAGGGAAAGCTGTCAATCAGGTTTGAAAAATAGAATTATGATGTTTTTTAATACACTTGTTAAAAAAAAAAATACATATGTTCTTCGTAGAAAAATCTTTGATTTTGTTAAAGACATGCATAAATGCTTGCTTTTGTCCATTGTTCATCTAACAAACATTATAATTCTCAATTAATCATATACATGTAAGTAATACTAATTGACAAGCCAGCATGATTGTAGTTTCTCTCATTCAAGTAGAAAGAGACTCTCATATATTGATATAAACATACCAGATGACCCTGTTAAACATTACTTTCTTGACTTTCACAGAACTTTTCATCTTCTGACCTTGAATTTGCTAATATGATCTTGATGATAGAATTAATCTTAAATTTGAGAATGTTTTTCTTTAACTACCTAAATAATCTATCATTTTTGTAGATTCCTTCATTTTGGTGGGATAGTGAGACTGAGAGAGAAAGGGGGGGGGGTAAAACAAGGAACATTTATGTAGATTATTGTATAAATTTAAATGAATATAAAAACGCTGCTTGAAGTCAAAATACATATTCATGATCCAGTGTGTACAGAAAGATCAATCACACTTCTATCCTATTGTTAATTTTGAAATTATATTTTCAAAATCAGTGAAAAGTATAGTACATGTATATTTTTTTAAATGCACTGTAATTGCTCTTGTCAACTTATTAAAATCTAGTATAAAGGAAAGAAAAAAATATATTTCTGAACAATCCAATTAATCTGTCGATATTTATTTTTAATTATAGAGAGTGGTGATGTAAAGAAAGACATTGGACACATTCTGGATTTTATCACAAGAGTTAAATGCTTGAAGGTATTTTATGTACTTGTGTTACATTCTTGCTTTTAAATGAAGCATTAATAGATACATGTACCTGCATTATGATGTTCTACTGTATATTTTGTTTTTAAACAAGATATAATATTCCTCTCTGTCTTTTGTTTATACACGCATTAATTGATAATTTTATATTTTTTATTAGTTGAACTGATAAAGTGAATATTCTTTTCATCATTCTTTTATGGATAAATTATATGCAAGCATCGTGGATTAAATTACATTAATCTTATTGTATATGATATATACTACAGGTGGCAGGCAGTCGTGATAGAGTAGGTACCAGTAATATAGACATGACACAACTGAAGTTTGACCTCTCTCTCTTCAAGTCCTTACAATGTCTGGAGGTATTGTTCGTATAAAGAATGTTTTTTATCAGCAAAACGAAAATAATGATAGAATGTTAAGGATTTTAAAAAAGTTATTAATAGGTTATACATTGGCTTCATGGTAACATTTATTTTCAAACTCTGCATACATTGTACAATGTATTATGTATGTGTACATGAAGTCTTCGGTGCTGGTTGGACTTTCTATTATTGCATAAATAACTTTTTTTTTAATTTTTCATGTGATGATAAAAGGAATGTGAATTTGATTTACAGACTGAATGCTGTCATGTTAGTAATATACTGGGAATAGAGACAATAAAGGAGACGCTGGAGAAAGTCAGTATACGACAGGGTCTGACCAATATAAGGGTAAGTACACAAAGGTCAATAGGTCATCTGATATTTGGATGAAATGCCATAGTAAACAATGTGTTATAAAAATTGTTGTTCTTGGAAAAATATTTGTATACCTGCAAGAATTCATTTGCATGTAAGAGCAGAACATATGTATATTTTTGATGAAAGGATAAATAATGTATGTTTTCGAGTGGCTCAAATACAAAAATTCAATCCTGCAAGTTTTCACACATTACAAATATTGCCATATGAGTAAGATCACACGACTCACATATATTTTGTCTGTGAATGTTTCTGTAGGACTTGGTGCTGAATGGCTTGAGGCAGTGGAAGGCGGAGGATGGTACGGTACTGGTCACACACTGGGATAATCTGGTGGAGGCTGACTTCAGCAGGAACTCCCTCAGTGAGATAGACGACAGTGTGGTGAGTACTGTAGAAGTACTTTTTTCCACGTGGTAATAATTTACGCTATTTACACGGCCACAAATTTTCTGCAGAAATTTGTCCAAGCATACCTAATATAAATGTAAGGCATATAGTGACAGTCTAGAAAATCCGTGTAATTTTCTACCAGTGGATTAAACAGAAATTATGATCCCGCGGAATTATGACCCCGTGGCAAAAAGTACGTCTACAGTATATCAAGCTTAAGTTTATAAGCCTGTACGCTAGAGGTGTGGGATATTTCTATTTTATCCCATGTTTACCCCTATATCCCATGGATATAGCTCATTGGATATCATTTTCGTATCCCACAGTTGTGATGTCACAATGGATTTTGTGCTAGCGTAATGAAGTAAAATAAAGTGGAGTCCCATATATACAAAAACTATGTGAAACATTGATTGGAAGTTTTAAGGGGATACAAAAACACGCACAACTTGTCGGATAAAAATTATATCCAACTACAAATCATGAGAGATCCTATATACAGTGTAAAGCCATTAAATTAACAAAGTAAATAGATAGCTTGCTGATTCAGCTGTGACCAGAGACATGTTTTGACTACTGTCTGATTTCAGCAACTGATTCCCCGTGTGGAGGTACTGGACCTGAGCCACAACAGACTGACTGGTGTCCAGCATCTGAACTGGCTCAGTCAACTCACTCAACTCGATCTCTAAACAACGAGATCACAGGGCTTGACTCGCTTCACACCAAGATAGGAAATCTCAAAATACTCAACCTCTCAGGGAACAGACTGGAGAGTCTTAGAGGTATTGAACTTATTTTAAGATCAAAGAATAAGTCTTTTGATTGCAGTAGTAAACAATTTCTTTTTCTTTTTACAACTTTACAGAAGTTGTTTTTTTTTAAAAGAAAATCATGAGATTCTGTGTCTTTGAAAAAGATTGTAAGGTTAAAAGATAAAAGGAAAAATTGATTTATTAGTCTGAATAAGATAACAAAATAATGTCAATTCAGTGATTTTGTCTTTATGAGTAATTTAATTGTTCAATTTGGGTAGAGTATTATTTTTGTAAAAGTAGACAGT